GTGTGATTTCTGGAGAAAAAAGTTATATATAGCTATGCTAGCTTTATGCTGCTTGTGCATTCCCTGGATACCTTAAGGGAAAGGTGGGGGGTGACCACGTAAGAGCAGCGATGCACACACCGCCTTTGTGGCTTTCATGCCTGCAGCCGTACGCAGCAAATTACTTCTTGTAGGTAGACAGAAATCACGTTTAAAACAACACACAGTGTGTAATAATTCTTGAGTGCTAAGACCAGCTATAGAGACAGTGTTGTTCTTAACAGCCAATACAAAAGAAATAAAATAATTACTAGGCATAATGATCATTAGTGTACAGGTCTAAACCTACCAGGCACAGGCTTACCAGGGCATTAAGTTCCTAAAAGAGACAGTTAGCATGGATCAGCAAATGTGCTCCCTGCACACATTATTTGCACATTTTATGCCCACGGTATTCCATAAATATAATTTTTTTTTTTTATGTGCCGTTGCCAGCTGAAAACTTTAAATTGTGGGTGATGTAAAATACCTAAGAATGGGTAACAGGTCCAAAAAAAAAAACCCACCACCCAACCCCAAAAAACCATCAACACAACCTCATTGAAGTCAGTGGATAAATGCTAGAAGTCAGTAGTTAGAGATGGGACTCAAATAAGAAGCAGACCCTAACAATTTGGCAGCATGTGTCTATTTCTGGAACTTTCATTTGGTGCTTTTTTTTATGGGGAGAGTAAAGAAGAAAAAAAGCAAACAAGAAAACTACAATTCCTATACAGAGAACAATAATGAATATTGGAAATCCAGCTGGGAGACTATACAGATTTTAAATATGGACCAGATGCTTATCAATCTGAAAAATTTATAATAGAGCACTTGATTTCAGTAGATCTGCTTACATTCCTCATTGAGTTTTCTGCACAATACTTTGGTTGTTCTTGATTTCTGTAGATTTTGTATTAAGGGAGTTATTGGCCACAATGCTTGTCCAATAACACCTTATATGACTAGATCAGAATATTTTTAGAAAGTAAATTTGTAACTCGTAAACTTGGATATTTACCACAGAAACTAAAAGTTAGACTAACTTCTCTGTTGGACATAAGCAATTTTGTATCAACTTTGTGCGCAATAGAAAGAATGAAGACGGATTTGATCTCTAATATTCTTACTGGAACTACCAAAGATGATTATCGACTGAAATTTTACAGCCTATAATTTTGAATGTTGAAACTAATTTTTAAAAGCCAAAAACTACTCCTTTAGCAATCCAGCTTTACAAAAGGGTCAAGTCATCATTAATGAGCAGAGGGGTATACACTATCCTCCCAAACACTGTCTGGAATAAAATAATTTTTTTAACACAACTTCAGTTAAGCCTGGTGAAAGGGCTGAGCTGAATTCACAGTAGTCTTGGCGCCCTTTGCCAATGCCAGGATTTCTGTAGATGTGTTAACAAAAGCAGATGTTAAAGAGACAGCATTTTATGAATGCTTGCAGGCAGCTCCTCCTATTACATGGGAAAGCCTGAGAAAAAGCCCAGACAGGTTTCTTTGAAAATGTGTCAGTGAAAGCTGCCATCATGGGCTATGAATGAGAGGGAAAAACAGGTCATGTAGGGATAATCCAGGAAACTATGTACAGTAGGGAAGAGGCCATGAAGGAGTCAGAGTAACAGAGGTTTTTGTCAAAGTGGCAGACTAGGAAAACGCTCTGTACAGCAAAAGACTGGCAGGGTATGAGCACAGTAGCTTGAATTTGTCAAGGGCTGTGAAAACATGTTGCAAAACTGCTAACTGAGGAAAGCTGGGGTAGGAGATTTAACTGTTTGAATGGCTAGAAAAAGCCCTTTGGGATGATGTGTGAAAAAGAATCTTCTAGATTAAGACATAACCTAAATATACAGACCTAGAAAGGAGATTCAATGACAAAAACATTCTCCAGTTTGTTTCTGTTTTTTAGGTTCTTAAGGCAGGACGATAGTGTTGTCCTGAGCAATCAAAGGAAGAACTAGAAGGGAGTGCCATAGGGGAAAGACTTAAGAGCTCAGTTTTAGCTGTGCAGAGCTGTCAGCTAAACATTGAAAAGGCATCACAGCTAGAGGTCGACATTTTAGTCTAAATGAAAAAGCATGTAAAGAGAGCAAGATCTCTGAACTGTCAGCACTGAAGTGATTGCTGAATGTGTATGAATGGTGTAACAGAGAAGGGGAAGAAATTAAAATGGAGGGAAAAAAGGTTTCCCCAGAAACCTGGAATGGAGGGAATGAGACAGAAGGACAGGCTGGAAAAGTGATTAGAGAAATTACAGTGAAATGACAGGAGGAATCACAGGAGCCAAGGGAAGCAGCAGATTTCCAGGCATGTGATTAAATGGGTTGAAGGCAGCTGATCGGTCAGAAAGGATGGAATTGAGAAGCAATTTCAGTTGAAAGAAAGTCTAGGCAGGGGCTGCAGGCTTTGAGATGAAAGGAAGAAGAGCTGGGCTGGTGCTTGATAGAGGCGGGGGGGTAACAGGGAGAATCGACATATATTGCCCGTTATTTACAACCTGTTGGTGAAGCAGTCACTAGCTGCTTGAATTTGTGATATTTATAAATTCTGTCCTGACAGATTCCTCTGGTGAAGTTTCAGCCTATAGATTGTACAGCAATTCAGTGCTACAGCTGCTGTTCATTCATCATATGCAAGTGCCTGTCCTGAGCAGGAAGACCTCCAGGGATCTCCTGAAGATTCAGAGTAGCTTTGCCGATTCAAAAGCTAGTGTTATTTCCTTTGAGTCAGGACTGAACAAATGCCCTTTAAGGACATTAAGCTTTATTGAGATATGGAAATGCTATTTTTCAGATGGTCTGTGAGATCAGAGTCCTGAACTACCTCAGGAGATCACGTTGTTTATGAGAATTTAGTCCTAGCTGGAATCCCTAATCCAAATACATCGAAACTTTGGCAGTCATGATCACAATTTTCCTGTATGTAACTCTGGATCCTAATTTTGTGGCCAGACCTTTTCTTTAAACAGCATGCTAAAAATCCACATGCCAAGCCATTCCAGATTTTATCCTATGTGGTAATCTCAGTGATACTTCTCACTTCAGTGAGTCCCATCCATCAGTCCCTCCATGGATTCTTACGCTTGCTTAATTTGCTTTACTTACCTTTGTTTAACAGAACTGAGGTCGTGCTGCAGGGGAAAGGGCAGGCTGTTGCGTGCTATCCAGGTGCCTGCCTTGCTGCGTAGCCCATCTGGACAGGCCTCTAGCTGGAAGAATTTAATATTGAAGTCAATTCAAATAATACCAAGCTAATAACAAGAAATGAACAGATGAAGCAAAGTGGCCTTATCAATAATTATATTAAACTGGATTTGCCCCAAAAGAAAAGCAGATGATGAAAAATGAGTAAAGAGCACAAGCCAGCATCTAATAATGACCATTATGTTACTGTTTATGCTGCATGTGTCTGTGGGTGTGACAAAACTATTGATATTGCATCATTTAAATGTACAGATGCAATATGTATGAGGCAAACATCTCCTGAGTGTTTGTGAGTTCTGACATGTATGTTTGACTTGCATTTTTGTGTTGTGATACAGCAGTTGTCTCCTCCCGGGGCAGAGAGCATGAATGCTTCAACGCACTGCTGTGGGTTAACCCTGGTAGGCAGCTAAGCCCCACACGGCCGCTCGCTCGCTCCCCTCCAGTGGGATGGGGAAGAGAATCAGAAGGGGAAAAATGAGAAAACTCGTGGATGGAGATAAGGACAGTTTAATAGGTAGAGCAAAAGCTGCACGCACAAGCAAAGCAAAAGAAGAAATTCATTCACTGCTTCCCATGGGCAGGCAGGTGTCCGGCCATCTCCAGGAAAGCAGGGCTCCGTCACGCGCTTGGGAAGACAAACGCCATCACTCCGAATGTGCCCCCCTTCCTCCTTCTTCCCCCGGCTTTCTAAGCTGAGCCTGACGCCGTATGGTGTGGGATATCCCTTGGGTCAGCTGTCCCGGCCGTGTCCCCTCCCAGCTCCTTGTGCCCCCCAGCCTGCTCGCTGCTGGGGTGGGGTGAGCAGCAGCAAAGGCCTTGGCTCTGTGTCAGCACTGCTCAGCGGTAATGGAAACATCCCTGTGTTATCAACACTGTTCAGCACAGATGCAAAACATAGCCCCATACGAGCTACTGTGAAGAAAATTAACTATCCCAGTCAAAACCAATACAACCAGTAAACTGTAAGGTCAGAAGTTGTATTTGCCCGAGAGGAGCCAGATCAAACTTAGCTATGTGTTTTGCTAATATTATTCTTACTATTCTTGGTTTTATTGCGAAGCCAAATATTTGCAATTTACTGGTGTCCAAGCGAAACTGGGGGGGAAGTGACCCATTCCATTAGCTACAGCTAATGTTACATTTGCTCCTGATCTCTGTTTTTCTGAATTTCTTTACTACCTTTGTATTATCAGGGTGCCCATCTAGAATGGGTAAAACTATTCACATTGTGCCACCTTGACTTTATTTAAAAAAAAAAAAAAAAGGTAGTCCACATAAGATTTATATTTCTGTAGCAACATTAATATGATATGCCAGCTCTTTTATTCCCTGGTATATTCACAAACTATAAGGCACTATAATTGTGTCATTTTTAAAAAGATATTGTTTGTTTGCTCTTTGCTTGTCAGCGTATGTGCACGCAAGGGAGTGGCTCACTGGCGTTTTACTTGCACTCTTGCACTAACATAAATGATGAAGGCGTCAAATGGGGAGAATCAGGTCCTGGCTGGAGATTTATGCTCAGACCTCCGCGCTACATCTTCCTGAATTGCGCTACAAAGGTCTCTGAATGCCCCGGGTGACATTTTGGGGTTTTCTCTTGGAGATTTCTTCTTCTGAATTGCTTCTGAACCTGGATAATTTATATTTAATTACTGGCAAACGTGCGTGCACGCAATCAGTGATTTGATTGGGCAAAAACCCCCAACTTTAAAGGATACTGTGATCTGTGTAGTAATAATCACACACATTTCCCATCATCTAGGTCTGTAAGAACTCCTGACATTTGAAGCTGTCCTACCGAGTTGCCATGGCAACGAGAAAAAAGAAACCGTCAGATCTGAAGATTGCAGTTTACAGTTACTGTTCTTCACTACTAGGCCTCAGTTGCTCCAGATTCAGTTTAATTTGCAACCTCACTTAATCTGTCCGACTATACATTGGTGTTTGACAGCCTCTACCCTAACCGCCGTTTGTTAATGGATTCCTCTCGCAAGACGCAAGGTTTATGCGAATTTTCTCTGAATGTTAAAAGACCATGACATCTAAACTGGACCTTGGGGGAGCAGAAAACAGATTGACTCCATTTTTTTCTATCTGTTGACTTGTTGCTATTCAACTGTTCAGAAAATATTTTGTCTGTGGGTTAGTATTTGTATATGTATGAGTGTATGTATATATATATATTTATATAGAGAGAAGAGTTATAGGACAGGTTTAGCTTTTATAAAATATTCATCTGGAGCGTGCAAGGGACAAAGCAGAATAATGCAGCCACAGATGAATTGTAACTGTTCTACCATGGCTAAACCTGCCGTATTTGCTGTTCAGAGCGTGGCCAGAAGGAGAGAGCCTATTGCGATCGTGCCGCTGCAGCAGCCACTTTGCTGCCACCAAATAGAGCAGGCCCAGGGCTCCGCAGGGTCACTTCTTGTACCTCAGGTTCAGCAAACAAGAAATGCAAGTCCCCCTGGCTTGTTTCTGATCTGAACTGCTTTCCGTATGCCCCAAATGGAATTTACGATCCCGCAGGAGCACAGCGCTCCGCTCCCCGTTTCGTCACGCGAAGCTCTGGTTTGTGAGAGAGCGGGAAGCAGCCAGCTGCGGCCGGCGCTCTGTGGCTCACCGTTTACAGCAGTGGGAGTGCTGCGCCTGACTTTAAAGGGGCTGAAGTCAGCTGCCTTTATGTTCCTGCAGATAATTATTTGCCGGGGCAGCTTACAAAATTTGCAGTCTTTTCTCAGCTCTGCAGACAGAGTTAAGTAGGTAGATGTCTGCGTACGAGAAGCTGATGGAACAGCAAAAGCACCACTGGTCTCTCTCTCAGCCTCTGTGCAGCTGTCATGACACACGTAAGCGCAAGGAGGAAGACAGACGCCCTATTCTATAAATATATTCGCACACACATATATATAGTTTTGAATATATATATACATACATACACATGTACACACAGTTTCCAGTTAAGAGTAACAAGAGCATTTCTTTGTGTGTGTAAACTTACCACACTTGTTTGCAGACATGGAAAAAAAGGGTGTTCGTTATATATGAATATGAATCCTTTTTTATTCTGTGAGCATGTAAGGTTAAAAAAAAGAACCCTTCTAACTGTATCAAGATGATCATCTTGTTAATAAATTGTAAATGATCCATCAAAGCTCACACCAAATTTTTATAAAATTAACACAAAAAGTATACTAGTGACAGACTGTGGCTTTTATTAGAGCTTGCCAGTAACTAGGGTAAGGTAAGTGTCTTAGCATATTTTAATAAACTTGCTTATTTAAAGTTTAAACGAGAAAGCTTCCTTATGCAATAGAACTTTGCAGCTGCATTCTTTAGTTAGCATTTTTACAGTACTTATGAGTCATACTGTATGTTGTCTTTACTACAGTGAGATTATGAGCATATCTCCCACACCACGTATATGTTTCAATAGTAAAGCTTTTTGGAAGCATTAAAAAGTCCAAACATACATTTAGTTTTCCATAATGCTACACTAGATATTAAATGTGTGTTGGTGCTTAAAAATTGCTGTACAATAGCTTTTCTCTGACTTTCTGTATTGTACCAAATATGAAACAGGTCTTTTTTTTTTTTTTTTTTTAAATCAAAAGGAGTAATAACAACAGCGACAGAGGAAAAATTCATTTGTGTTGTGAACTTTCCTAACGTAGATTTCTTGATAAGACAGAAGCTGCCTTCAGACAGGAACCTATTTTTCTCTTCCAGCTTAACTCCTGCAGTCCTGACCAAGTAAAATCTCCCACTGACCGTGTTTCTCTCGCAGCGTGCTTCAGGTGTTTCAATTACCAAAGGGGTACTCCGAGGTCAGCGGGAGTTGCTGTTGAGCCAGGGCTTCAGGAGTGGGCTGTTGGGCAGCTGCAGGCA